CCACCTGTCCGTAAACAACACAACAATAACTCTTCTTCAACCACAGGGAGATTCTGCTTTTATAAAACTTCCATTTGTCTGATAACAGTCATACAGAACTCACCTAAGAACTGCCATTACATACATATAATGTTATTTGACCAAACTACACTATTACAGATTCAAAAACACATTCACAACTGTGGAAGTACGTTGTACTGAAAACTAGATCAACAGCAGACACACGCAAACAGTCTTGCTTCTTACGATCTTTGCTAAGATTACTTAGACAACCGTTCAGCGTATGGTCTAACTAGTCTAGATGATAACGCTTCTACAACACGCCAGCAGACATCCCACCCAATAACACCACTTGCAGCTGCCCCCTGCAGTCTAGAGCGATCCAAGCAGAACTGCTCATACACCAGGGCTCGAGCCTACAGTACTATCATCCCTAATTCTTAAAATCATAAATACAATACCTAACCACCATAATCAAACACTTAGCCTGCTGGCATGGAACTTCGAAAGTGGCCGGTCACACACAAACCGATAGACACCCTGCAGACACAGAACAGATGCTCTGGATTCTTTATCATACACTCACCCTCCTTAAGAATGGACTTAAAAGAGACACTGACATAAAACACAACTTTCTTCTGATTCCACCTCGCGCCCATCTAGCATATCAGACACTCGATGTTAGAGTAATGATACACCACAAAAAATCCATCAGCATAAACCTTATTTTAGGATTTCTCTATTTGGGACCCACACACCCCTCGGGAGATAGCTGGTGGCTATCCCTGGATATTACTACAGCCTCTTCTATCATATAGCTCCTCACAATATTCTCTTCTTCGATGTTCACCCCTGTATATTCTCCTCTTTTCCCGCACATACTTCTTCAATATACCTCACCAATTGTTCTATGAGATACAATAATATTTCCAAATTACATCTATCACATCACCTCCATACAAGATATGACACACAAACACAACATGCTATTAACCAGAATGACAAACAACTAAACAGTACACATTAACAAAAGCCTTTATCCTACCAGACCTGTCTTTTAACGATGATCAGCTATGGATTTAGAATGTTTAGCGTCTAGAATAGCACTGAGCAAGGATCGCGCAAGACATCTACAATGAATGAGTTATTACTGTACCATAATCGGCCCATCCAGCAGTCATAGAGCAGAGGTGCGACACTCACACAGCCAATTCTCTTAGGACCTATATAGCGCCATTCTAGCATCGCAAGACTAGGACCTCTCCACTAAATTTCATCCATTCAAAAGCCAACAATTAAGACGTCCAAGAGAAAAACAAGACGCATAGAACGCACCCCTGCAACTATAGACTATCAGACTATATCAAGATAATACACCAAACACATCAAAACATACCACTACACCAATCCAAAAATGCATAAGAAATGACTTCACATAACAATACACACATTCTCTCAAGCTATCACAACTGAAGTTATATCAAGTGAGAGAATAAAATATTACACCGTACCTGAACCATTTTGGCTTCGATCTAGACTGCTTAGTTCAGGCATGTAATCCTCACACCAAATGTGGCACCATGGTTTCCCTGTTCTCCTGGTGGGTTCTTCATAATTGAAATCAAGCTTCAGATATCTCCCTGAGCACAGCAAAAAGCGACACAGCTTCCCTCTGCGCGGAATTCTAATACCACGCTGTGTATAGACGATCATATAAGCAAGATTACTCTCAACTACGATGAACAACACCACATATTCACCAATATGAATAACAAGCCAGATAACATCTAGATTATGCAACCCAGTTAACCAACACTCAACATTAGTAATCAGCTGCCAATATGCTTGGTGTCAATAGCGGTCACAATCAAAGCACATATTCGAAGAAGACTGAGACAAATCAAAATTATACACAAGGGCACATATCTTATTGACACATTCCTAGCTTAGGTATAGCGCTTAGAAGCTGGTAGAACTTACATGATGGGCTGTGATCGAGAGAGTAAAGGTTCTGGTCTCCTAATAAAGAACATATAATCATACAAACTTCCTTACGCCATGTCAAATACGCTGCTGTCCTCACCATTACTAGTACACCACTCTCACACGGCCCCCTCGCACCCAGCAACACCACACCAGCGCACACACTCAACTCTTTTACAGCGCTCCATACACTCACTCTCGCTCCCAAACTGACTTCACACCGCCACGTCACGACATTACCACGGCTCGAGCCATCCTAGCGACGCTCCACTCTCTCTCTCTCATCTCTCATCCTCGCATCCGCGCACGCCCTCTACTCTTGCTAACCTTTTAAAAGCCGACTCGCTCAAGAAGCATAACCTAGATCATCAAAAAAGCTGACGCCGCCCATTTCTTTATCTGAATCGTCCAGAAGGCCACACTTATCCCAAAACTATGCTGACACCTCGTCACTTTTATTCCTGTCCATCGTGATCTGTGAGGACATAGCAGTGGCATCCACACACGCTGTATCGATACAAACCAGACCCTATAGGACGGCTCCCTGTTATACTCTAAGACATAATACTATCTCAGCAAAAAATACTACAACATACTCAATCCATATAAACTCCGCCCTAGAGCACACATACCACAGAATCGAACTCTACGAGATATACATAAACTTCATATCCATCCTCAACACAAGAGGTATCCAACTTAGTGACCTGGTTGCTCGTGCCCAGTAGTCGTGAGCAAACAACCAAAAGAGAAATAAACATCTTCTTCGCTCAGCAGATAGCAAAACACAATAGATAGCGACCACCACAACCTACAACTAGTCGCTCGCTCGAACATCACTGCTCCATAATCCAGACCAACAGTCAGCAGAAGTCTACACACCCTTTATCAATACTATATCCTGCACCAGAATTCTTAGAGGGAGACGATATCATCTCCTAAAGCCATACACACTCTCTGAGGGCATCACAACAAATACAATATGTTTATTTCTAATACCCTGTAATCAACACCATACCACACAAATACAACACAGAGAGACTGTCATTTCCAATCCAATTTTACCTGGTCCTGGGTACGTACCATACTCCAAACTACATACTCAGCCTAACACCTAGAATACCCAGACGAGATATTGAACAATAAGTGTAAGTCGACGCTACAAGCACCCAAGATCCCCCAAGACTATCATGGAAACCATGCAGAACATACTGAATAATAGCTCACGTATTCCACTCCCCTACTCTAAGTCGTTCACCACGAATCCTAATCGATGGCACATACTTATCTCCTACATATTCCGAGATACTCCCTCTCATTTCACCCTCCTTCTCCTCCTGTAGATTCCAGACTGTCCTTCTAACACACAATTAACTGTTCTACAACACACTGCCATCATTCCACTTTAAAAGGTTCAAAGATGTATCAGGTGTTATCTCCACAACTTCGCCAGAATACCCACCTGGTCAGTCCACCCACTACTACATTGAATAGAACCCAACACTACAACCACAAGCAAGAGATACAACTCAAATGACCGTATCAGTAAACACTGAAAACAATTCTGATACATGCTTACACAATTAATGAACAGGTAGATCACCTCATCGCCGGGGTCGCACAATGTAATCTACAATTTGATTAACAAAGCACTACCTAACTAACTCTCCTCAGTCACAGCTTTTATACTTCACACCCACTACAACTATTGCACTTTCTTCTACTCCCACTCTTAGCTTACCAAATTAATGGAGTACAAGATTTCCTACTTGTTGACATACAGCTACAAACCTGCTATACACAGTATGTTCATCAGTAATAATAATCCAAATACAAAATCACACTGTGACATTACGTTGCATAATTAAACTTATCTTTTACTTTGCCATACTTCATTAATTGTACGTTCTAGTATTCTTTACATTTACACAGTAAAAGCCTCAAATATTCCTTTCTCACAGCCCGAATAGCAACTCGTGTTCATACAGCCTCTTCATGTATTCGTCCATTATATCCAGAATGTATGTAACCATTCTAGAGGTCCATACAGGAGTAAACAGGAAGCGGTAAACCTTTGCATTTAAATAGAAGCTTGAAGCTTAACCTAAAGACAGTTTCCTCCATTTCCAGAAATGCTGACATGTAAGCTTGCTCGCTACAAGGCACTTAAACTATTTACTTGAAGCTACAGTTCGCACCTCACCCCATCAATGCTTATACTATCAGATATATAATATATACAGTACAAAGGTTAAACCATGCTTTAGTTCTCTCATATCTCCACATAACATTACACTCCATACATTAAAGTAAGGTTGTTTGTCAACGCTGTCTCTCTTGCTCCTGGCTGTCTACACTGCCCTACCTCCTCCCGGATGACCTCTCTCACACACCAACACACAGGCTTTTATTTTGAAAACCCAGGACCGAAGTCCGCCCAGCTCGGTTGAACGCTCAGAAACACGTTGAGCCTAAGTTGTCAATCACAAATGAACCACCAAGGCCGCCCCCAAGCAGTGAATGTAGGTGGTCGTTGATCCTTTCAGGTTGTCTGGTATTAGCGGTGTGAACGAGGCTGTTTGGGCTCGTTGTTCAGTGCGATCTTTAAACCGCAGGAGGATATGCTGGTTGTTAATCTACCAGATCTCAGTCAGGGCTCAGGAGGAAGCGCTTGCACTGCCAAACCCTGCAGACCTGCGCTACCCATTTTTATTTAACCTTACTTTTTTTTTTTTTTTTTTTTTTTTTTTACTGCGTTTTCTTTATTTATTTCTCTATTTGGAAATGAGAACGATATTATTCCTGCTGCACGCCTCTCATGCTGCTGGTTGGTTCAGTGCCACAACTTTTCAAAAACTGATGCAAAGAAGTCGCATAAAAGCTGAGGACGCAGGTGAGCGGTAACTTTCGCTGGCTTAACCTTGAAAGGGTGTGAGCTTCGTGTGAGCTGTGTGTGAGCTGACACAGCTCACACACAGCTCACACCCATTTCAAGGTAAAGCCCAGAAGTTACTCACCTCGGCCTCAGCTTTATGCGACTTCTTTGCATCAGTTTTTGAAAGTGTGGCACTGACCAACCAGCAGCATGAGATGGCGTGCAGCAGGAATAATATCGTTCTCATTTCCAAATAGAAATAAATAAAAGAAAACGCAGTAAAAAAAAAAAAAAAAANNATTAATGTATGTGTCAAGTTAATTATGAAAATCCAATAAATATAATTAAAAAAAAAAAAAAAAACCCAGAAAAAAAAAAAAAAAAAAAAAAAAAAAAGTAAGGTTAAATAAAAATGGGTTAGCGCAGGTCTGCAGGTTTGCAGTGCAAGCGCTTCCTTCCTGACTGACTGAGATCTGGTAGATTAACAACCAGCATATCCTCCTGCGGTTTAAAGATCGCACTGAACAACGAGCCCAAACAGCCTCGTTCACACCGCTAATACAGACAACCTGAATGGATCACAGACCACCTACATGTCACTGCTGGGGCGCTTGGTGGTCAGTTGTGATTGACAACTTAGCTCAACGTGTTTCTGGAGCGTCAACCGAGCTGGGCGACTTCCGTCCTGGGGGTTTTCAAAATAAAAGCCTGTGTGTGTGTGTGTGAGAGAGGTCATCCGAGGAGGTAGGTGGCAGTGTAGACAGCACAGGACAAGAAGACAGCGTTGGACAAACAAACCTTACTTAATGTATGGAGGTGTAATGTTATTGGAGATATGAGAGAACTAAAGCATGTTTAACTTGTACTGTATATATTATATATACTGATATATAACATTGATGGGTGAGTGTGCGAACTGTAGCTCAAGTAAATAGTTTAAGTGCCTTGTAGCGAGCAAGCTAACATGTCAGCATTTCTGGAAAGGAGGAAACTGTCTTTATTAAGCTTCAGCTTCTATTTAAACTGCAAAGGTTTACCCTGCTCCTGTTTACTCCTGTATTACCTCTAATGTTACATACATCTGGATATAATGACAATACATGAGAGGCTGTATGTAACACGATGTATCGGGCTGTGAGAAAGGAATATTTAGGCTTTTTACTTGTAAATGTAAAGAATACTAGACTACAATTAATGAAGTATGCAAAGTAAAATAAGTAATTATGCAACGTAATGATCACAGTGTGATTTTGTATTGGATTATTATTACTGATGAACATACTGTGTATGCAGGGTTGTAGCTGTATGGTCAAAGTAAGGCAAATTTGTATCCATTAATTTGTAACTAAAGTGGAGTAAAAAGTGCAATAGTTGTAGTGGGTGTGGAAGTATAAAGCTGTACTGAAGTATAGTGCTTGAATAAATGTAGTTACATTGCACCCCTGCTGAGATTCACCCTCATTAATGGAACTATCCAGAAATTTTTTCAGTGTGTATAACATTATAGTTCTCTTCTGGTTTGTGTTGTCTACATTGAGTTGTACTGACATGTATCTGTGCTGTAACACTGATCATCTTTTGACCTTTTTAAGTGAATGATGGCGGTTGAACAGTTTGTGTTAAAGACACTCGAGCTCCTACAGGAGGAGAGGGAGGCTGAAATAGAGGAGACCAGGTATGTAGAATAACATCTAGACTGTGACACTAAAGGGTAATACAGCAATTTTGTTCTGCATTTCCATGAAGTCTGGGGACTTGGGATCTCACTTCCTATAATACCGCTGTTTCTATAGGCTGAGTAGTAGTAGTAGTACCCAGGACAGGTAAATTGAATTTCCTCTTTTGATTGTGGTATGGTGTGACACTATAAAATAACAATGTTTTGTTTTGTGCCCTCAGGATATGGCAGGAGAACGTCTCCCTCAAGGATCTGCAAAATAAAGGAGTTTGCCTGCTGAAGTTGCAGATAGGAAGTCAGTCCACAGGCCTGTATGGTCGCACAGTTGTCATCCTCGAGCCAAGAAAGCATCTTGGTTTCTCAACTCTGCCGAGCAACAACTTTGGACCTGGTGAGATGGAAGAATAAACCGATGATCTGTGGGATTTTTTAGGGGCGATTTAAAGTTTAGTATTTTTCTGAATGTTTATGTCTTATGTTACAGGGGACATAGTCGGCTTGTACGACACTGGTGGATGCACTGCAGCCTCACAGATCGGCACAGGAATAGTGACGAGGGTCAGCCAAGTTTCTATAAGTGTGGCCTCTGACGATTCGAAAGATGGCCTCAGCTTTGATACAGATGCTCTTTACAACGTCTTAAAGTTGGCAAATGACGTCACCTACAAACGAATGAAAAAGTAAATGACGTCCGTAATGTGCTCACTGTAATGTCTGTACTTGGCATGTAAGTCAGATACAATTGATGTATGAAGCCTTAAAACTTATTTTCACTGTGTGTTTTGTGCTTGCAGGGCCTTGAATGTACTAAATGGATACAGCAATGGACCAGCTGGGAGTTTGATAAATGTTCTTTTTGGAGACTCAAAACCTTCTTCTCAGTCACAGCCAAGTAAGTCACACTTTACAAAGCAAACATTGTCAAAAGATATTCCCTCTAATTACTCTATGAAATTGTGCTTTGTGGCCGCTTTTACACAAGTATGCAGCATAATGTTTACCCTCGTTTCAAATCCTAATTCTGGCTGTTCTATTATGTTTCATCAGATGAAGTTAAATTCTTTAACTCAAACCTGGATGATTCCCAGAGGGAAGCTGTGTCCTTTGCTTTGTCTCAGAGAGAACTGGCTGTGATTCATGGACCACCAGGAACAGGGAAAACCACCACAGTGGTTGAGATCATCCTGCAGGCAGTCAAACAAGGCCAAAAGGTTCAGACGGTTGAATATTTCTCTCCCACTGATAAACTCAGTTACATTTAAAGTGTGTTCTTTTATTGTCATTTTCATGTGTTTATGTATTCTGTGTCTGTGCAGGTGCTGTGCTGCGCCCCCTCTAATGTGGCTGTGGATAATTTAGTGGAGAGGTTAGCTCGATGCAAGGCAAAGGTCCTGAGGCTGGGTCACCCTGCCAGACTGCTGGAGTCCATACAGAAACATTCACTAGATGCCATCCTTGCTCAGAGCGACAACGCAAACATCATCACTGACATCCGTAAAGACATAGATAAAGCTTTTGTAAGTATTTTAGTGTGTGCTCTTAATAGCATTTGTGCCATCTTGAGTGATTTGTAATATTTAATATTTGTTCTCAAGGTGGGAATGAAGAAGATGCGGGAAAAAGGAGAACGGGTGAACTTCAAAAGAGAAATAGGGGAGCTAAGAAAAGAGCTGAAAACCAGGGAAGCAACAGCCATCACGCAGATCCTAAAAAGTGCTGATGTTGTGTTATCAACCAACACAGGTCAGTAATGGCCTCGAGTGAAGAAAATGTTATTCAGTCAATCCAGTGATGATGAAAGGCAATCACAGAGCACTTGTCTGTGTCTGCAGGTGCTTCTGGTGACGGCCCTCTGAAGTTCCTGCCAGCAGAGCATTTTGATTGGGTGGTGATAGACGAGTGTGCTCAGGCCCTGGAGAGCAGCTGCTGGATCGCTCTGCTCAGAGCGCGCAAGTGTATTCTGGCTGGAGACTACAAGCAGTTACCACCGACGATCAAATCACAGACGTAAAAACACTGTTCTTTCTCATTTTATGCATCATACACAAATAACATTCAAGATTTAATGTTTAATCTGAAGTATTTCTAAATAACATTACATATTTATGACTGAATCAGAAGCAATTGGAGTTAAAGAACCTGTGTGTAGGATTCTTCTCGAATCAATTTCAAGGGCATTATAAAACCCTTGTGAATTATGGTCTCCTGGATAAGTGGGGTGCTCATTTTTTTCTCTTTTCTCACAGGGCTGCATCAAAAGGCCTGTCTCTCAGTCTTATGGAGAGACTTATCCAGATGTACGGGGACTCAGTGGTCCGTATGCTAACAGTTCAGTATCGCATGAACAGCGCCATCATGGAGTGGGCCTCCAAAGAGATGTACCAGGGAAGACTAACAGCTCACAGCTCTGTAGAGAGTCACGTGTTAAAGTGAGTGCAAGCTTGGTGATGGAAAGTATCTCACTTTTGTATATCAGTGAATTTTAACTAAAAATGATGTCTTTGATGCAAAAGAGATCTACCAGGAGTTACCTGTGTTGACGAGACCAGCACGCCGCTTCTTCTTATCGACACTGCAGGCTGTGGTCTGAGTGAGATGGAGATCGCAGATGAGCAGTCCAAAGGCAATCAAGGTTAGTCATTTTTATTGTAAAATTAAAAATATATATATTTTATTACAGTTAGTGTGTTGTGGAATCTGACAGTATGATTACTTTATCCTCAGGTGAGGTGGACATTGTTGAACTGCACATAAAGGCCTTGACTGAAGCCGGGCTTAAAGCTAAAGACATAGCTGTTATTGCTCCGTACAATCTACAAGTAAGTCACAGATCTGAGGAACTGTACCCTAAAATATATCTTAACTCAACTCTTACTGCTGTATTGTGTCATAGCAATAAACTTTAATTTCCATAATTCTTAAATAAAAATCTATACTTAAATCCCAATAATAGAAAATATCATTTTAAACTGACTAACAAACAGTTGTGTCTCAAAAGAACTCTGGATTGTGGTTTCTAATGTTTTTGTCTCTGTAAAGGTTGATCTTCTGCGTCAGAAACTTTCTGTGAGGCATCCAGAGCTGGAGATAAAGTCAGTGGATGGATTTCAGGGCAGAGAGAAAGAGGCTGTGGTGTTGTCGTTAGTTCGGTCCAACAGAAAAGGTAATTGTGTTTGCCGTGAGGTTGTGTCTGTTTCTGCCATAACCTGAACATTAGCGCCATTAAAGCTACAGAATGTAATTTTTTGCATATTTGCTGAGACTTTCACTGTATCCTGACAGAAGTACATGAAACAAAAAAAATCTGATCTCGTCCTAGTGCTCCCAATGGTATTTGTAGCAATCTCATTTCCTTTTCTTGGGCTGCTGCTTTGTTTTCTTCTTCTTGCGCTGGTTCCAGGAATTTGTAGGAATTAGTGGACCTAAAGAACAACAACCAATTAGAGCGAAGAAAGATTGTTGATTGTTGAGTCTCTTCCAAGGTCATCAAATACCGATGCTGGGAATGAGATTCAACAATCAACTTCTTCAAGATGTTTCTCGGCTCTGATTGGTTGTTCTTGCTGCCATCAGCAGCAGTAGGAGGAAAGGAACCTGAATTTTTTTTTCTTCACATATCTGTGTAATGTACTACTGTCACGATACAATGAACATTTCAGCAAATATGACAAAAAGCTATTTTCATAAAATCTACTGCAGGTTTTATTTACGTATATACATACATATTTGTTCCTGCTTTTATTTTAGGGGAAGTTGGATTTCTGGCGGAGGACAGAAGGATTAATGTGGCTGTTACACGTGCAAGACGTCACATCGCTGTCGTGTGCGACACCCAAACTGTCCAGAATCACGCTTTCCTGAAGTCCCTCATCGATCATATGACTGAGTTTGGCGAGGTCAGAACAGCATTTGAGTACCTCCAAGACATCGTGCCACAGAACTACACCCGCGACCACAAAGACACAAAGACTGGTGGCTCTGTGTCCACCAAGCAGAAGGTTAAAGATCAGCCTCCCAGCAAGGCGAAGCCAGGACAAAAGAAGCCCACTGGTAGCAGCAGTAATGAAAATACTGCTAATGGTAAGCATGCAAAGTCCTGCATAACGACACTGACAGAGGAAGATAAGGACAAGAAAAGAAACAATGAAATCAGAGAGCAGGTGGAGAAGTTTCTAAAGGATTTAAATCGGAGTGAACTACAGTTTCCATCATCGTTTAACTCTCATGACCGCCTGCTGGTGCACCAGGTCGCTGAGGAGCTGGGCCTCGTGCATGAGAGTAAAGGCGAGGGGAAAGACCGGTGCATCAGTGTCTCCAGGCCCCTAGTGTCAACACCAGCTGAGGAACCAACACAAGAAGAGGAAAACGAAGCAGCAGCCCAGGAAAAGGAAACCCAAGTCCCAAATCCCCAGAAAGAGTCGCTGTGTCAACCCCCATTGGACCTGAAAAGTTTACATTTGGAGCGAATGAAGAGGGAGCAGCAGAAAAGAGAAGAAAATGCTCAACAAAAAAAGCAACAGAACAACATCCCACCTGCTCCATCATCAAAGAAGCCCAAGTCGGCTAAAGGTTTGTATTAGAAACATCACATTTCTAAGTGTTTCTTAATCTGTCTGCTCCGATGTCTTGCAAACAATTCGACTCTACCTTTTTGTCTGCCAGGAAAGAACCGAACGAAGGCGGGCGCCTGTGACATTGCTGCTGCTGCTGCTCCAGACGATGACTTTGACGACCTTATCAACGCTGTCAAGAAGGCTGAGAGCGTGTGCAGTTTTGTCAAGTGTAAAGCTTCGGTGCTAACACTCGGACAGCTTTGCCTGTTCTGCAACAGGCAGTATTGTCTCAGTCACCATATACCAGAGGTAAGACAGGAACAGACCCCAACAAAATAGTGTTTGTTTTTGTTTGTGTTTTTATCAGGCTATGTAGGTGTTATTAACCTGATTTGAAACTGCAGTTGCAATTGAAAATGAACAGATGATGCCAGGAAAGTATTTTACTGGTATTTCACTGTAACTGATGCCTGAATAATATAGTGGTGTGTGTGAAGTGTTTTTCTGATCTGATTTTCATGTTGTAAACCCTTCTTTAGGTTCATGGCTGTGGAGATAAAGCCAAGTCTCACGCTCGGATGAGAATAAGCAAAGAAGGTGTTCTTTATGCCGGGAGTGGGAAGAAAGACAAATCCATGGACCCCAATAAGAAAGCCTATCTGCAAAGGAAACTGGACTCTAAACTGAAAGATATGGCGTCACAGAGGAAACCAAAAAAAGAGGACAGTTAATGATACCAAATGAGCTCTATAAATTAACAGAACTGAAGATTTGGTTCACAACAAGAATAAACAATTAAAATGCTTTGCAAAGTTTAATAGTGTTGTTTTTTATCAAATATACAGTATGTTGCCTTTTGTAACGTTCATTGGATAGAGTACAGTATCATACAGTTTGCTGCCAAATTTCATAAGCGCAGCATGGATTAATCAATATTTAAACCAGCGTTTCTTAAATGGGAGTAGGGGTATTTAGGAGTACTGCAGGGGGCAATACTATATATTTTAATATATATTTAAACAATATCTGTGCATAATTTCTAAAATAAGTTCAATAAAATAGACCTTTGGAAAAAACTCACTCATTTATAAGTTATTTTTGTTGTGTAGCTCTAGCAGCTATAACACACACACTATGTCTATTGTGTATGAGTCTACTCTGCATTCACAGTTATTGTCAGAGGACAGATTGTCAGTGGGCTGGAGTTTTTCCCGTCTTCAAACAATCCAGGGGAGAAGTATGGGAAAAGCTTCTCTGTAAATCTGTCACTGAATGTGTGTATTGTTGTCAAGTCGGCAGCATTGATGAAAACGACCTTTCCTTTGTCGTAGTCCAGTTTTACAGTAATCTTCTCAGGCTTCTGTTTCAACACGAGCTTGGTGCGAGGCGAGGTCTGAGCCCAGAATGAGTCTCCGTTGCACAGGCCAATCACCCAGAAACCCTCAATCGGATTGAGGAAGACGGCACTCTTCCTTTTGATGGACTCTTGGGCCACTCCGATGTACCAGTCTTTGCCTTGGCCTACCTCTACGGTCCAGCTGTGCTTTCCGGATGTGAAGCCAGTGGCTCCCAGCACGCACACACGGCTGGTGCAGCGTTCAGGGTTGTCAGGTAAGAGCTGCTTACTGCTGTATTGTACACAGGTCAACTCTTCAGAGAACCTTAAGTTGGTCTGGGCCGTGTTTGGATCCAGAGTGATGGGAGCTGAAAGTGTAAACAAAGTTCAGTACATTGAAAATACGTAATAGTACCATTACTAGTAATAGTAACTTTAAAGGACCAGTGTGAAGGATTTAGTGGCATCTAGTGGTTTAGTTGCAGATTGAAACCCTCCCCTTCCAAGTGCGAAGAAACTACAGTGGTCGCCAACTGCCCTTTCTAGAGACAAAGTTTGGTTTGTCCATTCTGAAACATGGCAGTTCAACATGGCGGTCTCCATGTACGGCGACCCGCAGTGTTTGTAGGTAAACACGGCTCATTATAAAGTAACAAAAACAAAATACCTGCTATATTCAAGTGATTATACAATAATGCAAACATACCTATGAATATTATATTCCATTTCTGCCAATAGATCCTCCACACTGGACCTTTAACTCGGACTGTTCACCCACCACATGTGACCATGTTAGCCATCTTCTTCCAAATTCCAAACTTCAGTGACCCCAGATGTTTTGCAGAGTTAATGAGAATATCTCTGATTAACTCTGGCTCTTTAATGTTGCATCTGACCCTGAAATATATGGAAATATTTACAACATTGTCTTTTGGAGACAGTGCTAATTAATTAATTAATAGGGAGTTATGCGTACCTTTTCTTTGTTTGCTTGTAGTCCTTAAATTACAGAAAGAAAGTGAGGAAATGCATCGCATTAACAAAATATTTGTGGTTTGTGGTTATATGCACATCAAATATAAATGTAAGGCTATTGGAAATCAGTGTCGATAAAAAGAGTAACGCCTGCACACTGACTCCAAATTACAAACACTCTCAAATAGACAGGTTGAAATGTTTTATAATTATCACCACACACCTTCACATACACCAACAGGCTGAAAGGCTCAGCAATGACAGGTGTGGTTAACCATTCAACCCATCCAGGGCCATAAACATTTTTAAAATTGTGAACAATTCAAGAAGTACGCAAAGAAAACTGTTGACAGTATATATCGTAGTCATAATAATAATAATAATAAAACTAAAACTAATAATAATAATACTAATAATAATAGTCAGCCTATTGGTGTATATGTTAGATTAGGGTGTGGTTAACCATGTTTAAACATTTTGGCTGTAAATGTACCTTTAAAAATGTTAAATCCTTCGCTCTGAGGGTCATCTCGATATCACTGATGGTGGTAGAAAGCGTTTTCATCTGAACCTTGATATTTTCCAGCTTCTCGCACATCACCTGGTTCTTAATTTCCTCTTCCTGTTTGAGCACTTTGAGTCTGGTGTTTTCCTCCTCCAGAAGGAACAGGTGTAGCTTCTCAAACTCCTCCTTAATTGCTTTTTCACTTTGAGAAGCCTGGGTCTGTAACGTTGAGGGAGCTGGTTATTTTTGTGCACCTCTCAGCACGGCGTTATATGATAATATAATACATAAGTGAATTGAACGAGTCACACTGAAGACTCAGCATTAAACCTCCATAAACAGTGAAATATATATGAGTAAGTGTGAGTAGAGGTCCAAAACATCTCATGTCATGTAATGATGGACACAGTGAGGGTGCTGACTTTCACCTGAATATAGGTTTTTGTTTCCTCCCAGTGCTCCTTTGTCTTGGTCAGTATTCTGAGCTTCTTCCTCAAGGGCTCCAGCATGGCTGAGATTTCAGTCTGAATCATTAACAGAAGAGTTAAAATCTGAAGCTGGAACAATTAATTGATTGACACAAATAATTAATTGCTTTTCTCTGTTTTATATCATTGTAAACTACATTTTATTAGATTTAAATTTGAAGATTTCACTGTGGACTCTCGATATGTCATCTATTGATTAATTGAGAAAAATCTAATTAATTCTGCATATTAATCAATAATGAAAACAATTATATAGTTGCAGCCATATTAAATTCCATTATGCTCCCACCAATAACTAATCGAATTCTGTGTTTGGTGTGTTGGAGTGTATGTACAGTAAATCCCCTTGTTATTTACCAGTTTCTATTTTTACCTTTTTCTGCTGGGCCGCCTCCTCTATTGGACAACACTCATGAACTTTATGCCGTTTTGATGTTTGGCAGACGAGACAGATGGGCTCTTCGTCATTCTGACAAAAAATCTTCAGCTTCTCGTTGTGAAGACGACAAACTTCTTCATTCCTGCCGGTCTTTAACATCTGGTATTGGTCTGCAGCTATCTTTAGGGCCAAATTGATAGGAGGCCTCCCAGGGACAGCCACGGTGCGACACACAGGACATTCTCGACATCCTTTCCATTCCCAGAATTTCTGTAAACAAACTCTGCAAATATTGTGGCCACATTTTAGGAGAACAGGAACGCAATAAATCCCAGAGCACTGAGGACAAAGTAAGTCCTCTTCATAGATCGGACTTGTTCCTGCCATCAGGTTTGAAGTGTTCCTGTAAAATGAGGTTACAGGAAATCTTCTTCCTGCTCTTCAGGTAGTGACTTAAGACGGTAGGTTCCCAAACGCAACGCTGAAACTTCTGTAAATGCTGGCAAACTCGTACGACTGGTTAGACTGTTGTTATGTCATGGCAGCAGACTGGCATTAACTTTCAATCTAAAAAATAAGTAACAAAAGTAATTAAAAATTCTACAAAATGTAACATGTAAAAAATATAACACAAATACCATAAAACTTCAATTAATACCCCGGGCTTTTATTTGCTTCAACCAACCTGCGTTTATTTATTTGGGACAGGCGTTTAATTCCTTTTGCACTAAACTCTTGCTTAACAAAGATGAGAAATATTTAAAAAATAATAATTGTTTTTTTTAAACCAGGATGAATATTACTAATAATATTATTATTAAAAATGAGGCTATCCAATAGCATCAATTATGAATCATTCATTTGATACTTTATTGCTCATGGTATCTGTAAAATGAACTGAGCATTGAATTGTGGAGAATCTAATGATGTGTACAATCGATCTAAGTACCTTAGAACTTGCTCAAGCAGGTGGCACAGTGGATTTAAAGAGGTTTTATAAATCCAAAAAATTTCTATAAAACCAGACCTGCATTTATTTGTCAAAACATGTAGCAGGCTACATAAAGCAGACGTCCCATCTAATTGGGACCCTGCTTTTAATTGAAGTTTTACGGTAGTCAGTGGCAGCACTATGATCACAGAATAGTGACACTTATGCTCATTTTCAGTGCACTTTATTTTCCATGATGAAATGTTTCCATATGCGACAGTACCATGGTTTGACTCAATGCATAAATATATTAACAATGCATTTTAGTCAGACTCTTAACATGATGTCTAGAAAAACATAACAATTCTACAAGTATTTATTTAAATGTTGTGTTATTACTGCATTAATCCTCTGAGGAAGGCAAATGCTTAGAGGCGAAAACAGAGGTAGTTTAAACCATTAAATATGAGTGGCTGTACTGTGAGTAAAATCGTATTCATACCCCAGAGCCAAGAATAAAAAGCAGACATAACATCTAAACTTTACAAGAGTTTTACATAGACTGTACTACAGGTAAACAGACAGTGAATCAACATTATTTTGGATGCAGGGACCTCAAACAGGAACCAGGTGCTGTCCAGAAGTGAGGTCACGTAGTGATGTGTTCTCAAAATGAGAAACATAAGTGCTCGTGCAGTAAAAGTAAATGTGTTGGTCTCTCTCTTCTTATGCAGCCACGTGTTGTATGGAGAGAGAAAACTAAATACTTCATATTTTAAAGCTACAGTATTTGTGTGTATTCCTCAAGTTTGATGCTTTTGTCTATGAATGTTTCAAAAAGGCTTAAATAGTAAATTATTTTGTCATCGCAGTACCGAGAATTTATCCTGTTTCCACCATACAGAAAATATTCTTACTAAAAAGAAATCTAGTAGAAGGATCTTAGAGTTTTTTGAGGAGCTACTGTTTGTGATAAACCTTGTTTAAGCCATGATGTTTTTAATTAATATGGCTTTTTTTCCCCAAATCACCATGTCTAAAATAAAACAAATATATAAGGGATATAAATGATAAAAGCCACTGAATATTAAGAAATACTATAATAAACAATTCTGAAATAAGTAAATAAAGTTTTCATGGATACATAATTTGATGTAATCCAACTTTGTTGCTTGGCATTGTGAATAAAACATGCAACAATAAATTATATGATAGCTGTTTTTTGGCATTGTCTGTTTAGAATTAAAATGCCTCAGCAAGTAAATAATCTCAATCTGACAAATAAGAGTTTTTACATATGACTAAAATTATGAAAACACCACATTAAATCATACTGAATCTCCTCTAAATAATTATTTGCTTGAGTGTGAGATTGGTCAAAGAAGATCCTTTCCCAATAGGTTTCCCTCTCAACAGTATTATGTTGATGTCAGAGTACAACATTCCCACAAATGGACAGAAAAGGAATTTCTATGAACACAATGTGTGTTGATCCTGCTCCTTAATCACAATGAATAAGGAGGGAAAAAAACAGCTGCATGTACCTGTTTTGTAAAGACATACTAGTTTTTGAATGGTTAAGAGATTTTAGTTTGTTTTTAGGTTTAAAAAAAAAACACCTCAAATAAATCAAACCTTTGAAGCAAATTAACATGAGAATAGTATGTACATGAATACAAGAATAAATATACCATGTATGAAATCAGTTAAATTCAGAAATGGCTCTGTGCTCTGATAAAAAAAAAATCTGAAAACTGTTGAGTACATAACAAGTGGATGTTGTGTAAAAGGTAATAACCCTGCGACTAAGCTTACGGAGATATCACTGACAATCTTTCATCTTGAGTTTAATAAACAATTCTAATGCATAAAATGGCAAATACAAGTTATAAATGCTCTTTGGACGGTCCATATTCCTCTAGGTTTAAATTCTGCAACAAATGGCCAGTCGTCAGAGACAATGTAGGTTCTTTCTTCTTCGGCTTATATTGAAATGTAACACTGTCAGTTGTACCTCCTCAGTCAGCTGTCACTCACAGGCTGTCTGTCAACAAGATGGATGCTTTGATTGTGTCCTCAGAGCTGCTGCACTCTGGGTTCAGTTCAGCATCCTCCGCACAGAGCTGTGAATTATTACTCCTCAAACATGTTCAGCACATCCTGAGGCTGCCTGCTTCTCTCAGATCAGTCAGGAGTATGCGTCGCACTGTGTCTGCAGATCCAACGCACAAACATGGTTTCACAATCACACGAATCCAGGTTTCATGGAGGACTTGAAACATTTAGGACAACCCTTCGTCCCGTTTGTCTGCAGACACCTGAAAGGATAAAACGGCCGAGTGTCAACAGCTTTATGTGTCATCCTGTAAATGAGTTCAAATAAAGAAATACACATGCTAAAGGACCAGTGTGAAGGATTTAGGGGCATCTAGCGGTGAAGCTGCAGATTTACTGAACACCGCTGGCGTCTGTATTTGACCATCAGGGAATGAGAACGGACTGGGATTTTTTTTTTAGGGGAGATACGGCTGACAGGTCCTATCTACATTTCCCAGTGTTTGTTGTCCCTTCTGCGGCCACCGTTAGGAAACATTTGGTTGGTTTAACAGGCGGACTCCATGGAATTGCGACCTGCGGCGTCTTCAGATCAAAAATGTCTCATTTCTTTTAAGTAACGAAAACACAAAGATTCTTATTTTCTGGAGATTATACACTAATGAAAACATACCTGTGAACTTATATTCCATATTAACCAGTGTGAATAACATATAAGTTATGTGTAAAGAACATCAAAGTAAAAATCACACTCAATAATTAGTCTTATCTCCTAAATGTATGTGTCAAAAATAATAAAAGGCAATAGTAGAGCACCCACTTGAGATGGAAAATGTGGGAACAGGGTAAGGCCTGCAGTTTTTGGTCCCTGTCCCCGATGGACTCTCCACACATGCCGCAGTAGAGCTCCAGCTCCTCGACACACTGCAGGAACTTCACCACTTGCTCTCTGAGCTCCTCCTGCTGCCCCCGGCTTCGATAAATCCCTTCACTCAGGCAGTGTACCTTCAGCGTACACAGCTTCAGACACATATCAGAAAAGACTGTCAATAACCCAAAGATATTCAGTTTACACTCACATGTGACCAGCGGTGGAAAGTAACTACGTATATTAACACAAGTACTATACTTAAGTACTTTATTCTATCCAATTTATGCTCCATTATACTCTCCTACGTTTCAGAGGGAAAATATTGGACTTTTTACTTAATTATTTAACAGCTTTGATTTACTTTGATTGTCCATACAAAACATGACCTGGAGTGATATGCAGCAAATGGCCATTGGCTGGAATTGATCATATGCCCGCTGCAGCAAGGACTTAGCCTTGGTACACGGTCTACCAGGTGAAGTACTGGGGCCCCCTTATACTTATGTACTTTTACTCAAGGAGAAACATTTCAGTATTTTAATGTCATATTGTTACTTTTGCTTAAATAAAGAATCTCTACGTCTTCCACCACAGTTTGTGAGAGGAAGAACTCACTTCAATCAATCAGTCAAATGTTTGGCATTTTTGCTTAAAAAGTAAGTAAAACAGTAATTAGTAAAACAGTTGCTAATTCCTTTTCTGCCCATTGGCTTATCAATTAATGGACTAATTGCTGCAGCTCTACGTGTGTGTTTTGACTTGCTGGTGTTTCGAGCACCATTTACCTTGTTTCCCATTCCATCTGCTAATTCCTGTGCTCGCTGCAAAGAATCAAGAGCCTGGAGAATAAACAGCGAGGGAGGAAGTGTCATAATTATTATAATTATAAGTTTCACTTTGTAAGATAGATTTTATATATAATTATAAATACCTTGTCAAATTCTTTCTGCACAAGCCAACACTTTGCAACTCCCAGGTAGACCTGTGTTTGTCCAAGACGGTTTCCGATCTCAGTCATGATACCCAGTGCAGACTCGTAGCGAGGGAATGCTTTCTGCATGGATGAAGAGAAATACCACAATAAAACTCACCATATAGATGGAAAACAACTAAATATCAGAATCAACATATTTCAGTGAGAAAGCACAAAGATACATAAAGCAAAGATCTCATCATTAAACCCAACTGGTCTGCACAAATGGTGGCACCTTACATCAACGTCGCGCCTGCAGCGGTGTATGTCGGCAAAGTTTAGTAAGCACAGAGCCTGCAGAGGACGGTCTCCATGCTGCAGAGCAATCTTCATAGACTCCTGTTGAAGTGCAATACAGAGTTTAGAGGAGAAGAAGAAGTTTGTTTGACCTTCTCAGCTGTGATACCAAAGCTCTGCTGAAATCTAATGATGGGAAATTATGGTAATCATTTTGGATCATTTCTTTCCAGTCAGGTTTAATATTGGTAGATAACATTTTATTTAATGGCAGTATTAAACTGTACAGTACCATAACATATAATACCCCTCCTATATTCCTATTATGATGGAAAAATTTCAGAGCATACATTTAACAATTAAACAATCTTTTCATTCATAGAGAATTGTTTATGAAAGAAGTGCGAATCCTTAACAGTTTACAAATGGCATGCAGTTATTTCATTTAGCAGTGTCAGTATATTTTCAAATAAACCGGACTGAGAAGTGATGCCGAACGTGAGACGTTGTTGTTTCAGCTTTAGGACTCTTGTGCTGGTATTCTAAATATGACAAGATGTGTAAATTGTTTGGCTAAATGCGTTTGGCAAATGTAATAAATCTGAAATACATCCTGCTGTCTTGTTGCAATACTTTTGCACTCCAAGGCAATGACATCAAGTTATTTTTCACCCTCAGTACATAATTAGAACACAGTGAAGCCTAAAGCCACCCTCTTCATTAACACTTTAAACCAGCGCCTCTGTGAGCATATTTCTGTCTAGGTCTAAGGCCTGGTACAACAGAACAACTGCCGCCTGCACCTGTCGGCACCACAACATCTACTGTATCTGCAGTGCCGACATCAGAACAGCCAAAGGCATCAGGGGACGGCGACTTTGTGAGGGGAACAAAAACTGTGACATTCTATGTATGTTTGTCTTTTTGGGATGAATCTCTTGAGGAGACACATGATGTGTTGGTTATAAAACAATACCTCACAGCATTCCATGGCGTCTGGCAGGCGCTCGAGTTTCCTGTAGGCTACAGACATGTGGTACTGGCTCATGGCTCGATACTTGAGGCTCCAGCTCTTGCCGTAGTCATTGACGAGCTCAGCTGCTTTGCAGGGGAAGAACAGGGCTTTCTCATAGTCCTGTTGGCAGAGGTTATCGATGAGTAAGACCTCTGATGTCCAATTATTGTCCACAAATGGCAGTAGCTTAGTCAAATGTCCAATTTAGATATGACTAATATGACTTTCTGGTTTGTAATTCCCTTCCTGTGACAGTATTCAAACAAATAATCTTTTAGAACTTTTTGATACAAGTATCCAGTATTATTAACAGGCGTATTATGTTTTCTTTCATAAAATAACGTGATATATGAGTGCATTCTTCAAACGCTACTTCATCACAATCCCATTGAAACCAATCCCCAGTGGGAAGCCAAGGGATTACTCTTACAAATCTCTGATGTCAAGGGTACTACATAAGCCCCCTGCCAGCCAGCCCACTCACTCCACCCTTGTTTTACAATGCCCAGTACTACACCAGCTAACCATTGATGATGTTTGCTTGGATGCTCTGCAGTGTTATCATACTGTTGGCAACACCGTTATTGATTGCACAATCAAGACGCACATGCAATCCAATGAATGAACTATCAAAGTATTTTAGCTCTTGTACAGCTCGAAAAGGTTAGACTTATTGCTGAAAGACAGTTAGTCAAAAGGTAATGCTGTGCACAGACTGGTATGTAGTGGGCTATCTGCAGTGTACCTCACATTAAAGCTTTTCAGCTTGACTCATACATTCATTTTATAAAAACGTACCTTGAGCTGGACATAGATGTTTCCCAGACTGCAGCAGACTCTGCACTCCAGCATCTTGTCATCGTTGTTGTGTGCGTAGCGCAGGGCCTTCTCGTAGCTCTCCAAAGCTTTCTGGAAGACACTGAGGCCCAGGAAGGCGTTGCCCATGCTAAGACATACCTGGCCATTGAGCTGCAGGCTGACGGTGGTACCCTGCATATTTAAGCAGGTCTTACAGTAGGACACCGTTTTCTGGAAGTCGCACAGCTTCTCGTTGCTGCGCGCCAAGTTCAGGTAGCCCTCTGTCAGGTAATCTGGGTCCTCCATTTCTCTGGCTGTGTCAATTTGATCTAGAGCATACTGCCAAGAGAGCGTAAGGTGATGGACAACCAGCAGGCAAGTTGTGAATAGTAAGATGGATGTTATGTCTTAAATTCAAAGAGATACTGGATAAAAGGTAAATTATGTGATTCCTTTATTGAAAGACGTAAGGCTTCTACTTTATAGGGTCCTCATTAAAGCTGTGTGAAAGAGAGTGGGTGCTGCTTGAGTAAAGATGATTATGTCAACAAGACACCCCACACTGATACTCAGGTTGCAGGGCACTTATTTACTCTGCATCGCGTGGAAGCCACAAATTAACCCATGCTTCTCAAGATCACTGCGAATGGAACTGAACAGGTGACCTCTCCTCGTTCAATAATCACTTGGATGTTGTGCAAATGTTCAAATACAACTACAGTGTGAACTGCAGCAGACATGACATATAGAATTTATGAGATATACAGTGACATTCAACCTCTCTCTCTCACACACACACACACAGAGACAGACACACACAGAGACAGACAGTACTTTTGGTTGCATAACAGAAAATATGTGAGAAATGACTTGAAATATCTGAATCAAATGATAACACAGCTATTTAGGGTAGGAATATTAATGAACACTTTTCATACAAGGAAAAATTCACATAGCTTAGATACATATTTTCCCATACTCACATTAATACAGACTGATTATTTTATTTGATTAACTAAACTGTATTCAGTTATTGTATGAAACATACGCTTCTTTGGGAGGCCTACCTTGAGCATATCTTTATATTTCCCCATTTCTGAGTGAGCTGTGATCAGGCACCCCAACACCCGAAACTTCCCTCCAGGATCTGAGGTCTTCTCCAGCACTTTTGTCCAGACATGCAGGGCTTTGTCTGTCTGATTGGACTGATACAACCTCAGGCCCTTCTCTATCTGCTGCTTGGTTTGGTCCTGGCCCATCTCTGGTGCAAGGCGCCTCATAAAAATATTCATTCGTTTAGGCCATGCAATTTCAGTGAGGCAGCAAGAAAGTAGATCCTTGCCATGCACAGTACAACTCCAAAGAAGATCCCTTGAAGATGATCCTCTGAGAGGTCGGAGCCAGGAGGCCTACCAGATCCCGCTCTCTCAGCTCCGGCTGTGCTGAGATGGGGAAGAAACTGGATCCACCGAAGTAAAACGGCAACACACCAAGACCATTATCACCAATCGCTTCGTGGAAAGCCAGAAAAATACCATCCCCATTTAACCCAGCAATGATCCCCTCTCACCATCAAGTGTTCAAAAATTCTCCCTCAGATTTCCGTTTGAAAAATGCCAAAGAAACACGTTTCCCGGCGGAGTGCTAGCAGTGATATCCCAGAATATCTACTCCCTCCACGCCCCAGCGAAAGGAATTCTCAGCACCCCCCCATGTCCAACCCCCTCCACCTTCCTCCTACTGCTGGCGCTACAGCAGATGGCCTTGTCACTCTAGCCCATGTGTCCCTTCAGGAATTCTGTCCTGCCCTCAGCAAGCAGTCCCAAGGTCACTATAGCTCCTAGCGATCTACCTCCACACTGACCCTCACTCACCGACCAAACACAGGACTACACATTTTTACATCACAACCCTCTGGAGCATTAAAAACACACATCCACGAATGGATCTCACCAGATTCTCACATGTGAGACTGTGAACGGTGATATGGGGGGCTATAAACAGCTTTATTGCCCAACATTAAAGGACTACATGTCAGATGGTGCTCGTAGTGGTCGTCCAGTTCCTATTGAGAGTTCTTATGGAGGCGCATATGTGCCCCCAGAAACCCCCACCCCTCATCTTGGCGTCAGCAACTGATGCTTAGAATAGTTCACAAAGTCTGACATGTTACTGGGTTTGGGTTTCAGCTGCACAGCCTCCTGCAGCACATCAATGGGATCAAAGTTTTGGCCTCTCTGTAGTAGCTTTGTCCCCTCTCAACGCACGCCGACCCCCCCCCCCCAAGGACAAAACAGGCACCTTTACCACCTTGCCATTCACGAGATGCTTTACCAATCCAAGGATAAAGTGCACCACTTTCAAGTGCACCACTGTATGCTTGCAAGATTTAAGATCCTAAATTCCTGGTAGTAGTATAGTATTAATAGTAAGAGACAGTTAGTGCATGAAGGCTAGAGGGCCATAAATATCAAAACAAACAGTGACAGCGTGTAGCTACACAGCGATATATATTTAACATTTCTGCTAACACTTGAACGTGTACATTGTACATCAAAATATACAATCTTAGGACAAGAAACTGTGAAAAATTGAAAAGTTAGAAAACATCCTCCGTTATCATGTTTATGCACATGTGAATTAAAGTTTGACATCTGAGGATATTTAACCTACAACATCATGATACACATATTCACATACAATATACTGAAGGATGTTTTATGTTCAGTTAAGCTTTTACACTGAAGTTGTTCATGCGTGTCAGTAAACGAGCAGTGCACAAGAAAACAATGTCAGCTAGTTCATCACTGGTTACAGCATCATCACAAATGACTTCTCAGCTAAGGGATCCACAATGAGACACACTGTAATACAAGCACGTGACACACACAGCGCTGAACTGTTTTTTTACTGGTCTGGTGGTCAGAATGGTCAGAGTGGAATGAGTGACACAGAAAACCAGCTGAGCAAATACATTTAGAGCAGGTTTTCCTCGTAGGATGTCTGAAGTCATGGTAAGTTATCCAACAGTCTTCCCTGATTCTCTGTGGCGAGTGTGGGGGCCACAGTGCGAACATCAAGAGGACAGTTTAGGCCAAAACGAACTGCCAGTTTGTGAGCAGGATTTTTATACCTCGGATAACGGATACGACAGATGTGGCCGGGTTAAACTTTAACGTGTTGGCGTCGCCTTTCTTACATTTGTCCCTGAAGACGTATATGCAGCCGTTACAGCTGGCCACCTTCCACAGCGACGGAACGCAGCTCCACACCTCGGGGAAGCGCAGGCGGGTGAAGCTCTCCAGCAGAGGGTTGTAGCACACCAGGGAGTCTCCCTCTGCTACGATGAAGATCACGTCCATGTGGACTGCAGCGTGCATGCAGCCAGCAAACGGCAGCATATAAGGTTTGATCTGGCACTTCTGGGAGAAGGTGTCAAAGCACTGAATCAGTCGAGATGGCTTAGTAAAGAAGTCCATGTCATTCTCCTCCCCTCCGAGCAGGTAGATAGTTCCTCCCAGGTTAACGCCAGCAGCCCCGGACACTGCAGTGTCCAGCTGGCCGGTCTCTGTCCACATGTTGTCCTTCACGGTGTAGTAGATGACGGCGTTAGAGAGCGTGTCCTGTAACGTCTTACCTCCTAGTGAGTAGATAGCGTCTTCAGTGGAGACAGAGACCATGGTGTGGTGGAGGCGGTCTCTGGGCAGTGGAGCGCAGCGCTCCCAGTCCATAGTGTGCATGTTGCACTTCCACATGCGGCGAGGTATAGACCCCCCCACCACGTACAGGTCACCTCCGTGTTTACAGGCTGCAGTGATCTGATGGCATAAACTGTTTTGGCCGCTCACGCTGATCGCATCGTCCTCGTCACAGTGAAGTGACACGGCCAGAGAGTGAGTCCGTGTCTCCTCTTTACCGATCAGGTAAATGTGGACGTTCTCACCAATTTCCTGCAGAAATACGAGATAAAGACATATCAGACACCAGAAATATAAGTAATTACAACAGACATCAAATATATTTCAGATCTAGATCAACAAATATGAAATGTTACCTTTAGATTTTCTTGGAGGATACAAGAAAACTCCTCTCTCTCCACCTTGTTATGGTTTATCCACGACTCGATGGCCACTGTTGGATTCTGGGAGCTCGGAACTCCATCTGAACACAAACAAACACAAAGCCTGAGTTACATACATAAAATGTGTTTCTGTGACACTGTGCTCATATGATACTTACTTGCATCAACCATTCAGTTACTATAAAATGTGTATTCAAGGTTACAAGACTATCACTGTTTTTGCGACAAATGATTTAATGGAAAACAATTTTCCCCCTTTTTCAACCACAAAGGCAAAAGCTGGTTTTCGGCCATTTCAGTAAAGACTGAAAAACTATCTTATAGAAACTGTAAATTCAGCTGGAAATATGTAACAGTGTCACAGTGCAGATCATTTTTGTTTTAGTGACCAATGTATGACCATTGCAAGCTAAAGCAGTGCAGACTGTACAGTTTCTACTGCACACTGTGCAATAATAACATAAATCTGACAAAGCTAAATCTGTCTGAAGTAAGTTTAAGACTGTGTTCATTCATTTTCATATCATATGGAAACTAAAATAAATGTGTTTAAATTTGGAAAAGGTGTGATTTGGACAGCAGTAATGTAAATAATATAATATATGGCTTGTAGCAAATGAACAAACATAGTTTGGGACTTCATGGCACATAGCGATTGGACAGCAATGCGTAATACCTTTGATGATGTCCAACAGCAGACAGAGAGGCAGATTAAGAAATTCTTCAGTCTGATGCAGCTGGGCCAGGTGGATTTTAGCACAATGCTTGGCTGCAGTATACAACTCCTGGTCACTGTGTCTGTCTGCGAGCCACATCACCTGGGCAAAAAACAAATAACAAAACAGGAAATCATACAACGGATATTACACAATTGTGACCAAGAAACAAACTACAAGGCTTGTGAGAAACAGTGAATCACCTGCAGGCAGTTCTTGACCTCTACTGTCCGTGAGAGGAAGCGAGAGCACTCCTCAAACAGTGCAGTCAGCTGGTACATGTCCGACATCTCGTAGGTGTCCTGCAGCTCCTCCACCCTCAGTTTAATCGTGCCGTGATAGATGTAATCGACCAACAGCTGAAAGACAGTGGCACTGACATCCTTCAGCTCAATGGAGCGGTTGTGGGACTCTTTGAGGTTGGAGGTGAACATGGAGCGGAAGAAGCTGCTCTGCGCCGAGAGCACCAGCCGGTGCAGGTGAAACTCTTTGCTGTCCACAGTGACGGTGACGTCAGCAAACAGGCCGTCCTCCAGACACAGGTCCATGATGCTCTTCACCACCCGGCTGGAGTGGGAGCGGTCGGTGAAGGTGTATCCCAGGAAGTAGTTCTCCTCTCCCACTGAGCCCCCGACACTGAGGCCAGCCTCCTCGCTGGACTCCATCTTTGATGCTCGTCTGACAAAGTCAACAAAAACAGCACAGGATCAAGTTTTTAAGACATGTCGAGTGGTCATTTTTAAACATAAATAAGAAACATTTTTATAGGGATTCTTTTTTATTGTGAACATTATATTTACATAACAGGACATTTTACAGTTAAAAAAATGTTTTTTAGTGGACTAACTATGTTTTGGTGCATAAAATATAAAATGTCTCTGATACAAAATATAAAATAATGTGCTAATATTTGCTGATTGATCCTTCTAGCGTTGTTGTTGGATCAATATAATCATCATTTTGGAGACTGTAGTTTGTGGTGTTGTTGCTTTATACTGAAATGGTTTTCCAATCATCATCACCACGCCCATTTATTTCAACTAAATATCAGACAGCTCACAGTAAAACACACTCCCACACCTGAGAGAGACAAAGTGGCGATCAACATTGTGTCCCACTTAGAAACATTTCAACTCCTAGAAACACGAGAACAGACAAACTACAGACGCTAATTCAGTCCACAATAGATAATAACACACAATAGCTAGCTGGCTAACGTTTTAAAATGAAACCGTGCTACCGCAGAGACAGAGTTATAACTGGGATTGTGACCGCCACAGAGAGACGTGAGGCTTTAAAGTGACCGATAAACAACGTTGTTTACCTTTATTTCCACTACGTTATCATTCAGCAGCAACTCAACTGTTCCCCGGAAGTAAATAAACTTTTTCACCGGTCCGCTATGAAGCGACTCACTGGTATCAGGTGGCGCTGCTGCCGCCATGTGGTGGAGCTGTGTTACTACAGTCGTCATTTATAAATTACACTCAACTCACAATGTTTATATTTATTTTAATTATACTAATTAGGTCATTTGAACTGAGAGGAGTCAGTTATGTCGGCTGGACAGTTGGTTAATTACTTAATTAGCTACATAGTTAGTGACTCCAGCTGTGATCAGAAATAATGCTTTTGTTACATCATGTACTGTATAGATAGATACTTTATTGCATATTGTATGTATATCAGAATCAGAAATACTTTATTGATCCCCAGGGGGAATTTGTTTGTTACAGTTGTTCTATTCACACGTTAAAGAACTTATATTACAATGTATAGAATAGAAATGTATGTATAGGTACATACAAGTAAAGAGTAAAAATAAAAATGGAAATAGAAATATAATAAGAGGTTAAGAGATATAATAAGATAATAAGAGCCTATATACAAAGTAAATGTCACTGTAAACATATTCCACAGTATGTGCTGACAGAAATTAAATAGTTGCGAGTTTAAGATTGTGGTGTTGCAGATAATTACAAAGAATGATGTAATAATTACAAGAATAACATAATAATCAAGTGTATTGCACCTTAATCGACTTATTCCACATTAACAGTAATAGTTTAATATAACATTATTCATCTTAACTGGCTGAGGTTTTGAGGTTATATTATTTATTTGTCTTATCCAATTCCACCTAAAGCGAAAGAGGTGAGCTTTAAAATCCTTTGACATTTATTAATTCAAGAAATGATTGGATTCAAGAATGAAGTAGGGAAATTTGTATTCAGTGGTAAATAATTAAATGTTTTTGGGTAAGTAGTATTAGACATATTACTTATAGATTGAGCCCTTAATGAACAAAGAGAAATGAACTAAACTTATCCTTTACTTAACTTATTGTGTACTGGATTTTATAGATGTTTATATTTGTTTATTCTATTGTTGAACACTGTTGTCTCTGTACCTGCTAGCTCAAAGATCTGCATGCTGTGGATATGAAAAATGAGGAATTAAAAAAGAATTGCCTTCTGCTCTGCATTACAGCCAACTGGCTTTTGGTTCCTTTTTCCAAGGTGGAAAAATGCCTGGTATTCAGGCTGAGTTGCTTCTGCCTAGATTCACAAAACTGGGCGAGGGAGAGCAGAGGTGAAAAGGATGCCGTGAGTTATCTGTCGGTTAAAAATCAAAAGAAGACTGAAGATGAAAATACAACTTACAATCTTCCTTCAGGTCACTTTGTGGATTTGCTTTGAGCAAGTGCTGCAAGGTAAGTAGAAACAGAAGATCCTTTAAAAAAGACTGTGTGATGTGGACAGAAAGTTTTAGATTGTTATATAAATATACTGCATGCACTGTTCAGCATGCAGTACCGTGTCCACATATGCAGACAGTTTATCCGCAGTGATTCATTTTACTTGTGTCGCAGTTAAACTCGAGTATTTTATACTTCAGATGTGGCTGCAGGCAAAAATCCAACTTCTCAAAAAACAGTCTCTGATGCAAGCCTGATGTTTGAGGTACTTTCTTCCCTTTAGAGTTAAACTGTCTAAATGCAGATAAATTAAACATCTTGCTATGTTTTACTTGCAGAGTGAGTGCTGGGTATGTTTTTCTTTCCTGTATGCAGTTCTTGCTGAGTGGGCTTGAGATGGACCAGGACAACAACATCATCTTGCACGACAAGGAACTGGCATCAATGAGGTCAGGGCGGGCTTTCCTGTCCCAGATCAACGACAACATCCCCAGAAGTCGGAGCTCCATGCTGCAGATGGTGACCGCACTGAAGGCTCAGAAGAGGCGGCCGCTGACTCAGACTCAGTTTGAGAGTCTTGTCCTGAGCATGGTGTACTCTGCCTACCAGGCCCGGCGTCAGGACAGGGATGAGGAGCAGAAGGCCTGGGGTGGAGTGCTTCTCCAGTTGGCAAATGTCACGGTCCATGAGCTACGTGGAAGTCCTCTCTTCAATTATGCATGACACACATATCACCATTCTGTATGAGATGAAAGGTGTATGCAATAAATCACTTACCTTAAATCTTCCTGCAATGTGTATTCATAATAACACATCAAAAGATTTGTAATGTACGGACTCAATCATGTATGAAACAATCTTTTTTTTTTTATTATAGAACAGTAGAAAAACATTTGTGAGAACATACAAGAGTTCCAGTTTTAAACTGGTTTATAAAAGAATATGTGAAATATTTTTTAAACATTCAAACAATCCCTGAAGATAGAGACACAGTGAACAAAGGAATTATATACATCGATTTTCACTGGGGTACAGTTTACTTCTTCCTCATCTGTGCTTGTTTTTGTTTTGTACACCCAGTTTTGGTCTTGGTTTTGGTCCCTGATTCTTCGAGAGAAGCCAGTTTCTTCTTGAGCTTCGCATCCGCAGCAGGACCTCTCCTGTTTCTGCTGGAGCGCTGCTGTTCCCTCCTCTGGCCTCTCGAACTGTCCGCTGAGGTCGAAGTTTCCTCCTGTTTGTGCCGCTCGTTCATCAGGGACTCGTTTCTATCCCAGACGAGCACCGTCACACCTGTCAGAGAACATTAAGCAGCTTTAGAGACGCAATCTGATACCAACACATCGATCAATAATCTGCTTTTGAAGAACTCACCCATTCCAGATCCAATCACATCGCCCATGGGATTGAATTTGTTGATCTGTAAAAACACATTTTCATGTGTTAGTTACTACAGTTTTTGTGCATTTTGAGGTCTTTCTGGTGTGTTTTTTTTAAACCAGACTCACAGATTTGATCCCTGCGACAGTGGGATCCTGCAGCTGACACACGAGCTCTGCAGTGTTGGAATCAAAGATGTCGATTGTCCTCTGATCTCCGAGAAAAACCCGGTCATCAGGGTAGCGGCCGGCCACAATTAGGTCATAGACAGGGTGCCACGTAGCCTACGGGGGAATAATAACAGTATTCTGTTGTGACACAGTGACCAAGCACACACAATTGACAGGATGTTGCTTCCACCAGTAGTCCATTTTTATCTACAAATTACATGAATATTGTTTTTTCAACAGATTGTTCTACACATTTTAATATTCATCCTCATCCCGTATTTGGCTGTTCCACTCAAGCCATGTCCAGATTACAACTAGACTTTCTCAGACATCTCTGCACTCAACTCACACTGAATGTGTATAAGAACCTGTAATTTCACTGAATATATTCCTGCCAGTCTTACACCTAATGGTCCCGAGGTTCTTTAATCTATAATAATAAACATCTAGAGAAGAAACAAACCTTGATGGGTGTGAGATGCTGAAACTGTCTGTGTGGATGTTGGATGATATGCTGAGGCTTCGACCAATTGGAGGACGAGTAGACCCGGATCTGGTCGTACTGATCTGTGGTGAGCAACTTGGAGCAATCCAGTGGGTTGAAATATGCTGCGACAATGATAAATTCATTAATAAAACTGAACAGACTTGGACTAAATAGCCAGAGATATCACATCTTTTACCAACTATGACACGTTTAACTACGACTTCAAAAGTCAGGACAGGACACTTAATGTATCATTTACATTTATAAACTGCAGACTGAAGGATGAACTTAATTCATTCAGACAGGGTTTTCTGAGTGCGTTACCCGAGTTGACAGCTTTCTCGTGAGGCATTTCATGGAGGAAACTCTTCTTGTCTTTGATGTTTCTCAGGTCCCAAAGTTTCACCGTGTGGTCAACCGAGGCCGTCGCCAACAACCAATCACAACGGGGGTTGAACTCTGCATGGGTGACTTTGGCTTTGTGCAACTTGTCACTGAAAATCTACGACATCAAAACAAAGTCATCCATAATTAAAACACATACTTTTTAAATTACTTACAATATTTACTTGTTTAAAAATGAATGGCCTAAAAACAATATATTATATATCTATAATACATTAAAGTACTGTAAAATAACTGTGTGTTAAAATTTTCTACTTCATTGGGGAACGGACACATACCTTTTGGCCATCTAAACCCAGGAGTACGAGCTGTCCCACATTGTCTCCTGTCACAAGCATCTGCCTGCTTACTGACACATCTACACAGCAGTACCAGTAACTGTAAGAAAACACAGAGTGAGTGAATTATATAATGTAACAGATGAAAAAGATAAAACTTCCATAGTGCAACAACAAATTCATGATCTGATCAGTCAAAATTCTTTGCTGCTTGTATGTTTCAGGCTAAAACAAACCTATAAAAACACTGAATTATCTAAGAAATGTGCTGTTACAAATCGTGTTTCATTTCATGAAAAGCTAAAATTTTGGAGACGCTTTGTTTTTTTTAATATATAAAATATCTTGTTTATATATCAAAAAAAATCAGAGCATCTCTTTGCTGAGCATCAGTCTTCTTAGCAGTTTTCTCACCAAACATTGTGGTGATCGTGGCCACAGTCTTGAGTTCTGGACAGAACGGTGGGTGTGCGACCCTCAAAGCTCTGCACGGTCAGTGTGCCCTCACCCGAAGCCACATAGACTTTGGAAATATCCATCGGGCAGAACTTCATCCCTCCGATAAAGTCTCCTGCTCCGTTCTGTGCACACAAACACAAATGCAGGCCTATCACAGGGCAGTTATCAGCACCACACTGCCACTCAGATGTTTAGCAATGAACCAATAAGGGCCAACTGGAAAGGAAACTGATGCTAGACCAATCGGACCTAAATCTACAACCCTGTTCGATCGCAGCTTACAGAAAAAAAGGGGACTTAAGTCTTACTTCAGTGTGTCTGTGCTGGCAAACACTGTTAGAGTTGTCCCACTGAAATCTCGAAGTGCTGTCGTACCCCTCATAGACGAGGTGAACAGCTGAGTGGGATTTAACTGGTTAAACTTCATGTCTGTAACTGAGTCTCCAGGCCCCATCTAAGCAGAGAACCAACAACAGCGTGTTGTCAAGAAAATCATATTTGCACCATTTTTAAATTAATTACAGCATCAAAATGTAATTATTCTTGGCTTCAAATTGTTCAAAAACCATCAGTTGAACACCTCGTACTGCTGGTCAGCGAAGAATCTGACCATCGTGCAGAAACTCACCCCTTGAATTAACGTTTTCTTCGTGGGCTCCTCAAAGTCCCACAGATACAAGTCACCGCCCTTGGACCCCACAGCCAGAGTGGTGGGGTGCGTGGGATGCCACTCCAGACAGGTGATCCTGCGGTCGAAGGGGCTGGTGGCACCGTGGAAGTGATAGGACGACAGCGAGCGAACAAAAGGTTCCTGCAGACACTGGAAGAGACAACAGAGTTAAAAGACAACTGCTCATTGACACGCAGCCGAGGTTTATTTACAATCTATGGAAATAAATGTTCCTTCCTACTATAACAGAAGACGCTGGACATATATTATGATATATGTCAAGTCTCTCTCCACTCTTTCTTCTTGTTCCTACAGGTGGATGTTTGAAAGTTTCTCTGTGCTCACTGAAAATCTTTTTTTTAGGGGAGGGGCCTATGAGCATGATTTGTGACATCACAAATAGTCAGTCCTGGTCCAGTTTACAACTTATACAGTGTATAATGTGCTGTATGATGTACAAGCTTGAAGCCACCAGTGCACAAACACCGAGAATGGACTTCACAGTGAGAGCAGGACAACTTTACAAATGAACAGAGCTATTCATAGACTATTTGTTTACACCTTAACAGAAGTCTAAAGGGGTCTTTAAAAAGTAACACTCACACCTATGGCATTATATTTTGACCACCAACACTCACCTGTCTCATCTGTGAGTGGAGACTTTGCCCCAGAGTGCTCTTGTAGATGTAGTGCAGGATGCTTCCATACCCGCTTCTCTTCTGGACTCCTGCAGACTTAAGAGGAGGCCCTGCGAGACGCACACACCAAAATCAACAACCGAGGAGACAATAATATTCACCGTGCTGAGGCGGTCCTGTCAGAGCCGCTCACCTTGTTGGGATGTTTCTCCATCTTTCCTGTCTCGTAGTTTTTTGGAGAGAGTTGGAGCAGAGTTCTCCCCGCTTCTTTTCTTCACTTTACTCTTTGACTCTGATGCAGCTGACTTCGTCGGTTTGTTTTTCATGTCTCCTCCTACACAGAAGCGACGACTCTTATTACAGGAGACGACACGGAGGGTCTTTATCATTGAGCTGCATCAGTGGAGTGAAAACGAGCTCTTACCTGAGGTTGTTTCAGTGTTTAGTGCTGCAGGTTGAGGAGCTCCAGGGTTTACATAATACACGTGAGTGCGTTAATGGCTGCGACTGTTTTGTAACTTGTGTGATTACAGCTGGTTGACGGTAGGCGTCAGCAACCCTCAGTGGACGCCATGTCTGGAGTTTAGGTAGGACTACAAAGTGACGTCAGGTCTGCTTTCAGTTGAGGGGCTTCATTTCATTTGTGAAAGACTATATAACGTTATTATCCTGTTGTTAATGAAAAAAGAGAAACGTTTATGAGAAACACATTTAGCTTTAAGTCAGACTGATACATATTACAGTTAATGAATAATACGAACACAGAGCATAAAAAGAAACAAAGTTTTGCTTTTTCCCTTCAACCTTTCATAATACTACCACTTTTATTAATCGTAATGTATTTAACAAAACACAAACACATTACATATTAATGCATACATGGAAAGAGTGCTGGTGAGATGAACAATATCTCAGATCTTTTTTTCTATTACCCTTTTTTTTAATCATACGCAATTAATATTTCTGTAAAATCTGTAAGTTATATGTATTTATTTAATCCCTTAAGCTTCTGAAAAGAGGTCGTTAGTGGTGTATTTATTTGTCATCATTATTTATTTAATCATTAACTGCGTTTATTCTCTCTCTATACCTTTTCTTCTTGGATTAATTTGGGCTAACCCTAAATCTGACAAACACTGTCAAGTTAACTTACTATTCAAAAACAACAATGTTAATATATCTGTAACAAACTAAATCACTTACCTGTGTTGACACTTTTAGACACAACAATCTGAAATAAACGAGTTGTTGTTTGCTGTCTAATCTATTATCTGAAACAAAAAGAAACGATAATATTACTGACAACAATAGAGTAATTGTTAACATTTGTTGTTGTTTATTTTTGTTTGCATGGTTTCGTAGCAACTATAAACACATCTGCTGACATATTTTACATTTTTGCAGCCTCGTTTCCATAAAAGGACTCGGAAGTGAAGGCGGAAACACGTGATTGGTTGTTGTGAGCTCTGATTGGCTGCTGCCGGCTCGTTTCGAAAAACGCGTCAGATTTGAGGCGGAGGGAAAGTTTAAAATTGTAGCAACAAGAACGGCGAAACAACCAGAAAGCAGCGAGTTACAATGATCAGACAAGCGTAAGTACGGTTTAATATCCCTTAATACGTCGCGTAAAGTAACGCTACATTTCCTAAAAGTATTGTGCTGAAGCGAAATGTCGTTTAACAATTAAACTAGAGAGTTGTTCACGGAATCCAAACAAGAGAACACTGGTTAGCTTAGCCACAGCGTTAGCTTTTGTTACCGCTTACTGTGCTGGAGGCTAACCGTGTAGCTAACTGTGCTAATGAAATGAGAATTACCTTTTTATTTTTATTTTTCAGGAAGGGTAAAACCCCCCGCAGGCCTGCTCCTAAAAAGCCCTCCAGCAACCAGAAAGACCCGGTTGGGGTGAGTTTGTAAAGAATGCAGCATTCAATACTTCAATATGTGATTGTGTATGAATGTTTGACAGGTTGTGGGTTTAAAGTAAAGCTGATTACTAATTGAATTGTTTTTTTAAAAAAAAAGTTAGAACGATCAGAGAGTAGTAAAGGAACAAACACATGTGACCGGTGTACTTTGCCTCAGGTTTACTGCCGGGTTCGACCCCTCGGTGTGGAGGACGAGGAGTGCTGCATTGAGGTGATCAGCAGCTCCACCATCCAGCTGCACGCCCCTGAAGGCTTCAAAACGAACAGAAATGGAGAGTACAAAGAGGTAACACATGTGGTGAACTCTCTTGTTGTCATCATCCACACAATGGTTAGGTCCACTATATGTTTAGTTTAAAGTTTTGTTATTGTGAACAAATCCCATGAAAAGACCAAAATCAAATGTAAATTGTTCTTATGAACATTTGTTGTTGTTTGTTGTGACAGCTTCCACAATTATCATTAACACTGGGAATGTTGTTTACTTTAAGTCAACCACATGTACACTATCCCACTGCCTTAAATACTACTACATACCGAGTTGACTAATGCACCGTTGGTTCTTGGTTAAACAAAGTTTTCTGAACACAGCTCCAAGCTATTAAAAAAAAAAAAAGACTTTGCCTTTTGTACCCATCCATCATGGTGGCAGCAGACCAAGCAAGGTAGGCAATGTCCTCCAGCTCTTCCTTTAGGAACATCAAGGTGTTCACAGGCCAAGTGGATTATGTAATCCACCCAGTGGGCGTGCTTTGAATTGAAATGAGCAAGTTCAAGTGATTTAGGGACGCAAACCCTGTGGAGGCATTCGAGGCATATACAACTAGGAGAAAATGCCATAACGGACCCTTTTTGTAAAAGTGAAACCCCCAAAGATTTACATTACATTACCTTTAGTAGGAAACAAAAGGTGTGGGGCCACATGTCACATAAAGGCATGTTGTTGGTCTTTTTAAGTGATTTGTTACCAATATATGATTCCACACTTATGCTTTAATGTAATGTATTTCCCCATAATAATACAATTAATATATTTTCCTTCTCAGACACAATATTCCTTCAAAAAAGTATTTGGAGTTTCAATATCTCAGATGGAGCTGTTTGAGCATGTGGCTAAACCTCTTGTCGACGACCTCATTCATGGAAGAAATGGTAAGGGCACTGAATCGGCTCCAGAAAGAACCTAATTTATTTATTTGTTTTAATCATTACCAGTTCAACTATAGCCTGATTTGTCTACTTAATATTAGTAATTCTGCTGGATGTCCTCCCACTGAACTTTACTGCATTTAACACGCTCAGGAACAAAGAGCGCTTTAGCTTGGATGTTATTATTGATTCTCTCTTTTTTGATTGTTGCAGGTCTGCTCTTTACGTACGGGGTCACAGGAAGTGGAAAGACGTTCACCATGACTGGCTCTCCAGGCCAGGGTGGACTTCTACCTCGTTCACTGGACATGATCTTCAACAGTATAGGACCCTACCAGGCCAAAAGATATGTAAGGGAGAAAACAATCAAGAATGGAGTTGATCATCTCTTGTACTCACGTAATTTATCTATTATTTATGACATTTTTACATTTATTCATCTAATTTCATACCTGCTGGGTTTTTTTTCAGGTTTTCAAGACAGATGACAAAAATGGTATGGAGGTTCAGAATGAAGTTGATGCTTTGTTGGAGCGCCAAAGGCGGGAAAACAACGTGTCTGTTCCTAAAACACCCTCCTCCAGGTAAGCCTGAGTCCTGTGAAATACCAGTATTGTGCTACAGTGTAAGTGATGTATAACAAGACGGCCACTTCCTTGATTTCAGACAAAAGATTGATCCTGAAATTGCTGACATGATTAAGCCGGAGGAGGCTTATAAAGCAGATGGTGTGGACGAGGACAGCAGCTACAGCATCTTCGTCTCCTACATAGAAATTTACAATAACTACATCTATGATCTCCTGGAGGAAACTCAGGAGGATGCAATCAAACCAAAGTGAGTTCAGGATGTGTAAAAGGAACATAATTCAGATGTATAATGTCGTCATGTTTTATGTTTGTTTTCGAGCAGGCAGATTTTAATATTTTATATTTAGAGTGTAGTGGTTTTTAGAGGCGACGACTTTCTGTCAGAGTAGCTGAAGACAAAATTATTGTCTTTTCTTTTTACTAGGTGGAATGGTGGAGGCACACCTGTGCGCCTGAACACTGAGTTCATGTATGTGACCAGTGAATACTCGTACATCAGACATCAGACTAGTAGCCTGATTTTTAGATGAACTTTCCCTTCCCACACAAATGAGCAGTCTAGATTGTAAGTGGGACTGTGTCAACTCTGGAGACATTTTCAAACTTACAAAAACGTTAAAAGTTATCACAACAACTAAGAAGTTAACTAGAGGTAGGGCTGGGTATTTGGAATATTTCATTACTAGTACCGATATATGAAACATCCACTTCAGATACCAAAACAGTATCACCAATCCAAAGAATAATGTATTAGTGACTAGACCTCTTTCTAACACGGTCTGAATATAAACACGTTTTTTGCTAAATAACCTTTCAAAAACAAAAATAACTGCAATAATTAGTTGGTAACAATCTGTAAAGTGACAATCTATTTTCATAGTTGATTAATTATGTGTTTGTTTGTTTTCTTTTGTTTAAGCAAAGTGCCAGATATTCTCTAGTTCCCACATGTTCATTAGTAAACTGAACATATTAAAGCTTTGGACTGTTGGTCAGGCCTTAAGGGATTTGTAATGGGATTTCTTTTTTTTTTTTTGTATTTTCAGTTTATAGATCAAATGATTAATTTAATCTACAAAACAATGGCCAAATTATTCAGTAATGAAAATAATCATTAGTTTCAAGTTCTAAAATATTAAAACACAGTCGAACAAGAACATTGTCTGAATAAAATACAGTCAAATTGAGGAAATTACTACTTAAATCTAATGGTTCGATCAAACAGTAGGAAAGTAAAGTATGAATCTGAGTAAGCATTCAAGGCCAGATTTTGGTACTGAAACGGCATCAGTATCTAGGTTCGTTACCCAGCCCTACCCAAGAGTTGGCTGACTGCTGCTGATTGCAGGCTACACCAGGTAATGTCTCCAGTGTTGACGAGCGTTCCTTTTAGTTAAAAATCACTAAATGGCCCCGCTGCTGCTTGTAGTCTTTGTTATGGCAAAGCTCCTGAATGTCCTTTTTAAACCTGCTGTCTGCTGCTTTAGACGCTTCCTGATTGTAACTGATTATCTTCCATGGCTGGACTCAAGCATCCTTAATACCTCCCTCCAAAATGTTTGATTTTCCCCATCTGTTGCATGAAAATGCACTTCCATGTCTGTAGTGACTAACACTTTTATTTTCTCAATGTAGACCACCTCAATCAAAAATCCTCAGAGAGGATCAGAATCATAACATGTATGTGGCTGGTTGTATGGAGGTCGAGGTCAAATCTGCTGAGGAGGCATTTCAAGTATTCTGGAGAGGTGAGTTGTCGTAAGCTCTACATTTAGAAGCAAAAGAGTCATTAAGGTAATGAAGGAAGAATACTGCACTGATGATTGTAGATGTGACTGACCTGGCACTGCTGGTCTCCGGGTCGGCTTTGGCCAGGAAATGATCTCGTTAATCTTCTCTCTGAGCGGGTTTTGTAAGAGTTGAATGTATCAGTTGGAGATTGTGCCCAATAGTTTAGTTGAAATTCATGTTAAGATGCTATCTGTGAATAAACCGGTTACTCTATTGTTCCAGGTCAAAAGAAGAGGAAGGTTGCAAACACCCGCCTGAACAGAGAGTCCAGTCGCTCCCACAGTGTGCTCATTATTAAACTGGCTCAGGCGCCTCTCGATGCAGACGGCGACAACATTCTCCAGGTCCGTTGAAACTGAAACCACATCTCTGGTCTCAGTTGTAATCCTGTAATTCATATTTTGATGAATTATAAGCGTCAGTTTGGATATTTATGTATTTTCTGATCTTGTTTGCCAGGATAAAAGCCAGGTGGCTGTTAGTCAGCTGTGCCTGGTGGACCTGGCAGGAAGTGAACGCACCGGTAGAACCGGGGCTGAAGGAACCCGTATACGGGAAGCAGGTTTGTTAGCCAAACATCAACATTTTGGTTTATTTGTAGCTGAAGTTAATTTGAGATTAAACTAATTTCTTACCGTGCAGGTAACATTAATCAATCTCTGCTGAATCTGCGGACGTGCATCGAGGTACTTCGAGAGAACCAGATGTGCGGCACAAACAGGGTATGAATTATTACTAAAGGCGAACACCGTCATTATATTAACTGATGAGCCTTGTAAGTAATGTAAGTTCTCTCTTATAGATGGTCCCCTACAGAGACTCCAAAGTAACACATCTGTTCAAGAACTACTTTGATGGAGAGGGCAAAGTCAGGATGGTTGTTTGTGTTAATCCCAAGGCCGACGACTACGAGGAAACGTTGGTAAGTTCGGTCTGCACTTTAACCGCCTCATTACTTTACTTTAAAAGAACTCAAGAGTCACTTTGTCTGACACACATGACGCGCTCTGTTTGTCCAGCTGGTGATGCGGTTTGCGGAGATGACCCAGGAGGTGGAAGTGGCTCGGCCAGTGGACAGGCCCATCTGCGGCTTCACCCCGGGCCGTCGCCATAGAAACCAGGCATTTAAAGAGGAACTGTCTCGCAAGCTTGAGGAGCGTGGCGGCCCAATAGACAGAGGTAAAAAAACAAATCTCCTATACAAGACTATGTGGTTAATTATGAACCTTTACTAGAATACCATGTTGGCCCAAATGTAACACAACTTTGATTATTGGAGTAATAAACTTTAAATGAAAAAACACTTGTATATTAAACGTATTAAATAGTCAATCAATAAAAACAAAATAAAACATTAAACTTAAGCATTTAATTGATTTTATTTAAATAAAACAACAAACCTGTCAAACTATGGCTCCTTTGAGAATCAGCATGAAGCAGTGGACTCATGTCTTTCTCACCTCTTGCTGCTGTATATATTCATTCATTCCTTCAGTTTATTATTCAGTCATGTACTTCTGCTATCAAACTTGTACATAATGACACTATTCCTCAAATTTAGTAGTAGTAGTTTAGAGAAATTTGTATCTTTTTATCTTTGTATTTGTACATGTGGAATATTTTATACATTCACAAATACAGTTTTTACCAGTGTTAAGAGTTAATTCTCTCTGTTTCCTTTAGACATGCCCTCTGTTATAAGCCACCTGGTGCACAACCTCCCACCTCTACCCTCCTCTGAGCTGACTGACCCTCATGATGACATCACCCTGCCCAGGCTGATTGAAGCTCTGCAGAACAGACACAGGATCAGGCAGATGATGATTGAAGAATACAGCAAAGCAGGTGCCCGCTCACATTCTAGTTCAATCCTCAACTCTTGGCTTTGACGGTTCAGGTTACTTGTTCAGGTTGGATTTCTTATCTTGGCTCACATTTTCTCTTCCTTCATGTTGTTTTAGCTGACACGATGAAGTCCATGCTTCAGCAACTGGACAGCAACCTCGTTTCCAATGACAATTTTATTCATGAACAAAACGGCAAACTCGTAGAGAAAGACAAAATCATCCAGAACAACAAGACGGAGATCGAACGCTTGGAGAAGAGAAGCAAAATGCAAGAACACAAGGTGAGAAACAAAATTCAATCCAGACAAACTTCCCCAGAGATTGCTGGTTTGTAGGTGTGTTGCTCAGTTCTTTAAATGTCCCATATGGTTCTGTTCTAGATTGACATCCTGCAGAAAACGACTAAAATCTATGAGGACGACAAGCGTTCACTGCGGCACGAACTGGAAACCAGAGAGCAGAGGCTGCAGAGGGAGCTGTCTGACAAGAGACGCATGGAGCAGCGCATGCACGGCGTGGTCACGGACACCCAGTACAAGTGGGAGAAAGAATGTGTGAGTTTTATTGCTGAATTAAATTATCCGTTTGTACAAATGATCGTTTGAGACATGACAGTCAGTGGCGTTGCACTCAAACATTGTGCCTCTCGCCGCGCAGGACAGACGTGTTAACGCGATGCAGCTGGAGATGCAAAACAAGCTCTGGGTGAAAGACGAGAAGCTGAAGCAGCTCAAGGCCATCGTGACGGAGAGCAAGACCCCAGGGGGGCGTCCTGATCCTCCACCACGTCAGACACAGCAGTTACGGCCATCCAGAGAGGAACGCCTCCCCGCAAAGAGATCGGCCTCTCCCTCGCCTGTCCCTGTACGTTGTGTTGACGCACATCTAGAACACCTGTCTAGCTCTTGATTAATTTATCTGTTACTACATATTGTGAGATGACATGACAGTGGTAGTTCAACAGGACTGGACTAACATCACTAATCCCCCATCTGATGGCAGTAGATATATTAACACCTGTACCTTTTTTATAATTACTAACTATTCATCATTTCTAACCATGCATGTAATTGTACACACTTTCCACTTTGCTCTTCAGTGCCGAGTTGATTCTCCCCAAGTCAGGCCAGGGCCAGTCAGCCCCACTAGAGTTGAGGAGGTTGAAATGAACGCAAGTCCCGTCTGCCCTGTTCCCAGCCCCAGTATCTCTTTGCCTGTGACAAGCCGCATGTCTGCAAGGGAGAGGCAGGTGGCCCCGGACAGCAGGCAGAGTTACCATTCTCCTAGTACGCCCACGAGAACCCAGTCCCCGGCAAGACCCTCAGCTAGTCGGGCCACGAGGAGAGCTGCGTGTTGGACTAGAGAGGAAGAGGGGGCCAGCTTCCCTACATTGGATCTAGACTTAATTGAGAGAAGCTACAGGGTCAGTGAGTTGGCAACAGGCAGCAGCATGAGGTTGAATAGTGAAAACTGGTGTGTCTAATTAGGGTTATAGGTTTTATCCAGCTATTTTCCCCAAATATACATCCCCAGCCATTTACCAGATTCATACTGATATCTTTGTCAGGATCTGATGTAATCATTTGGCCTATTTTTATGTATGTGTTTGTTTGTTTTTTTATTTTTCCATTGCCTACCGCACTCTGCAGACAGCGACACCAGTGCGGCCGCTGCACCGTCGCTCCCGCTCTGCTGGCGGGGAGAAGTGGGTGGACCACAAGCCCTCCTCAAGCATGGACTTGGGTACGGTTTTGCAGCCTGTCATCCCCAATTCCATCCAGGTGTCTACACCCAGCGAGAAGGCCTTGTCAAAGTGCGACCGATATGTGTTAACACACCAGGAAGTTGCCTCTGACGGTGAAATACAGACCAAACTTATTAAGGTAAGAATGATGCAGCAAGATATTTGACCATTTGCAGGGTGAATGAGTGTGAACTTGAATTTGGCATTATGCCTGTCACCATGTTGGTTTTTTGCACTCATTAGGTGTGCATGGTTATCTATAGCAGGAAGTAAAGGCAGCTGGCCTGGCCACAATTTTATTTTCTTACAGATAAAAAGTACATATGTTTCTGCAAACATTTTAGGGTGAGAAATAGGCAATGCAGTAACAGCCATGATTCATATTTGATCAGCACTGGCTAGTCTTACAGTTTGATCTTTTTGCGTTGTGCTGGACGGACTCACTGAGACTGACTTGTCAATCACAAGGTAACCAAGCCCTAAAGTATACTCTATTGTCTATTTTATTTATGTCCATCATTTACTAAATGAACATTGTGTTCAGGGGTTAATGCCCTTTTGAGGTGTCTATAATCAGGAACAATGTAAAAGCAGCACATTTCATGTCTGATATTAAGTCATTGAGAGCTGATACTTATCCTTTGGTTAATGGATTGAAGGCAAGCGCCAGATCAATAAAGTTTGTATCAGGTGTGTTGGGAAAGTGGGACATTTGAGACTGCACAAGTATCTGATCTGTAAATATCTAAAGAACAGGCAGCTTAAAGCTCCCAGACAGCTGATCCAATGAGGCAAAGCAGTGATTTCACAACGTCTGTATTTCAGCTGACATAAGTAACGATTACAGAATTTTCACTTTGGATGAACTACTAGTTAAAGCTGGCTATTCCCTCATACTTTCCCTCATAATTTTTCAGGGTGAGGTGATTAAAACCAGAGGAGGAGGACAGGCCGTCCAGTTCACCGACATCGAGACCCTGAAACAGGAGCTCACCACAGTCCCAAGGTAGCAGCCTACTGCCAGTTATTAGCTGCACATTAGCTGCATGTTTTAGATTGATGTTTTAACATTTTTCCATTTATATTTGTGTCCTAAGAAAAAGAAAATCCTCAGAAGGCAAAAATGGAGGTGGAACAGATGGAGATTGGACTGATGTGGAGACGAGGGTAAGATGATATTGATTATAAACTACCATTAAAGTACCATTGCATTTAGAACGCAGAGGGATGATGTAATGAATTATTTGAATTAAGATTATCTGCTGATTATTTTCTCCATTAATCAATAAAGAATTTGGTTTATAAAATGTCATCAAATGACTTGTTTTGGATTGGTCAGATAGCATGTTATATTAATCTGTAACTTTTTGATATCTGTGGGGTTTCCTATACAATCTGCCTCAAGTCACTCTTCAGTGTTTATCTTCATTGTGTTGACATCGTTTGTCATTCAGATTAGTGTAAATTGACAGACACTTCAGTGTAGATTTGGGTCTCAGTTTGTCTTTTGTTGGCAGTGCTCTGTGGCTATGGAGATGAGGGCTGGATCAAACATGGGTCCTGGCTATGAGCATCATGGGATCACCAAGTAAGCTGTCATATTTTCAAGATTACATCTGAGAATACCGTTTCCTCTGCAGTTACACAGTATTTGATTAACTCTGTTGCCTTTTTTTTGCAGGCGCAGAAAACCCTAAAAGCCTCCGTCAGCTACTCCAGTGATCACTGCCCTCTCCTGGCTGTTGTGCAATAGTCTGAACTTTTTTTATATTTAGCTCTAGTAATAATATTTAAACATTTTCCAAGCTTTTATATATGCAAAAGTATATCCATGGGTCACCAAAGCTATTTTGTAAAATATTTTATATGCTATATTTGAACCAATAGAAAACAAGTGTTATTTGTTTCAGTCAAGGATGGTGGAAAACATTGAGTTACTGTGGCCCTGCTGCTGGGAAAAAAAGTCTGTCTGCACAATTTTGTGTAATAAGTCACATTTGTTACTTGGCACATGAGGAGACATTGTGAAGCTGTCACAATATTGAATTTTGTTGTTTCCTATATACTGTTTCTGTCTCTTGATTAGTAAATTATATTGAGCTTCCAATAGAGTTTGAATAATCCTCTTCTTTTTGAATGTCTTTATATATACATTTTGCTTTTCCACTGATAAAAACGAGCTCCCCAGCCTTCACTGTACACTCAGGAATAAAATTCCTTTGCAGCACCAGTTTGTTGAGTTTATATACACAGAAGAACACAATATAAACTTAAACAGTACAGTCTATGCTGCTCCAAGCAACTAGCGTCAGGATAACTTCTGAACACTAGATGGCAGCACAGGACAACAGTACATAATGGGATCAGTTGCAGGAATACTTGAAGTACAGGAGAGTGACTGTATTGGACTATTCTGTAAGCATGTTAATATGACGAATACTAAATGTATGAATGTCACTGATGACAAGAAAATGTTTTAAGGCTTGTCCTTGATAATTTCTCTTTGCCAAGGACCAGTTGTGTTTTAAAACCACAGATCAAAAATCCTTAGCAGTCAGCAGAACTGTTCTGGAGGGACTACCTGTTTATTTCCAAAAGGTGATGCTTGAGAAGAGTTTTAATGTCGAGTTAGAGCTCTGGGCGGTCCTGTGCCAAGAATAGCAATATTCTCTTGTCGCATAAACAAAGTCTGCTTTCAATAACTTTGCAAAAATTGCTTTCCTGTGCACGCGTTTGATCAGATATTCATTAAACAAGACACCTTGTATATAAATCCATATTAAATTAGTCTGGTTGGCTGCATTCAGGCCGAGTCAGCTGGGTCCCAGGATTTAAAAAAAAAAAAAAAGTACGTGGCCTTTACTGTTGTGTGGTTGGTTCTCTGCTTAGTTTGGTAGCTTGGTTGTAACCTACAAGCTTTTTTTTTTTTTTTTTTTTTTTTTTTTTTGGGCCAAACCATAAAATGCTCCTTTACAAGTAAATTACTCACTGGGTACAAAGTTAGATTTATTGGATACTTTTTTGAAGATGTATATCGATTTTTATTATTTTAATTTATTTATGTTGCACTTTTATTTGAGAGGAGAGCATAAATGGCTAAAGCGAGAAGAGATGCTTACACAACAGCAAAAGGGCCACAGGTTTGGACAAAACTTGTACATGAGGCGCAGGTTGTACAAGGTGGGGTACCAGGCGCTCCATGATGCAATATATAAATAAGTAGCTTTAAAGCTGCCTGAGCTGATTTAAATTTATTGAGTACAGATCATATTATCGGTGGGGTTTTTTTTTAAATGCAAAATAGTGATTTAAGCTAGAACAAATACATCTGTAAAAATAAGATCAGTGGATTAAAAATGTAAATATTCCCTCTGAAAAGTAGTGGAGTAATTCGTAATATAGAGTAGCCTCAAAATGGTAAAAAAAAAAACCCATGCCTCAAGACTATACAGAGTATCTTCAAATGTTGTCTTTTTCGCGCATCGACATACTGGAGTACATGTACTTTACACCACTTGTATTTGTGTTTTGGCTATGATAAAGCGGAGCTAATACATACAGTAAATATGATTTCCCACAAAATTAATTAAATCTGTGATGCATATTGCA